ATTAAATTCAATTAATTTAGAAATCGACCGCACCCATCTCATTTCCCCCCAACATGTTCTCTCTCTAAACTAAACCCTAAAATCCCAAATCAACTTCTCTCTTTGCCTTCTCTGGTGATGGTGGCGTAGAGGGACGATGGTGGTGGTTGTGCCTAGTTGGTGTTGTTGGCGATGGTGCCGATCTTGTTATGGGTGGTTGGTGATAGATCTGGCGGCAACAACGACTGCTCACCTTCTCTCCTCCTCGTTGCCGATCTTCCTCGTCACAGTGGTGTTTGTCATTCGCCTCTGTGATGATGTCATTCATCTCTCACCTCTCCTCTTCGTCATCAAGCACTAGCACAGCGGTATCGATCGCTCCTCTCTTCTCCTTTCCTCGTTGCTAATCCTCGTCATCATAGAGGCAAACGTCGTCGTGATGTCGCCATGGTGATTTGTGTGTGACAAAAGGAAGGATGAAATATGTGATAGTGCGATGTGGGTGACAGAAGAAAGGATTTGCTACGGCGATGCCATGGGTGATTTGTATGTGTGGGACAGGATAAATGATGAAACATGTGATGGTGCGGTGTTGATCTGTGAGAACGGTGGTGTGTGGTGGTGATCCGTGTTTGGGTATGGTGTAAATGGATATTCAGGAGATTGTGTGCTGTGGGTGGGATGAAATATGTGATGGTGGTGGATCTGTGGTTTTAATAGTGTTTGGGTGGTGGTATGGTGGTGATGTGGTTGTGGGTAGGTAGTGTTGGTGGTGATGGTGATGATGATGATGATGTTAGCTACAATATTTGAGACGATGGTTTGTTGCCGGGAGGTGGAGGTGGTTCTGGTGACGGTGGCTTTAGCCACTATGTTGTCGGTGACAATGGTGAGGTGGTGATCACAGAAGTCGGTGGTGGTCACGAGGGTGGTCACAGAATTCGGTGGTGGTAACTTTAAAATTGTGACTAAAGAAATTAATCTGTAACGGGGATGGTCACAGAAATTGGTTGTGGTCACGGGGGTGGTCACAAAAAATATTCAACTGTGACCTTAAAGTTGTGACTAAAAATTAATCTGTGATCAATAAATTTGAAAATATGTGACTGATAGATAACTGTGATCTGTAATTTTTTGATCTGTGACCAATAAAATAATATGTGACCTGATTTGTGATCTCGAAATAATCTGTGACCCACAAAATTTTTGATCTGTGACCAATAAAAAAAACGTGGCCTATAATTTTTTTTGATTTGTGACCTCAAAAATAATCTGTGACCAATTAATTATGTATATGTGACCATTAATTGTATAATTGTAACACCATTATATTTAATTAATAAAATAAATAAATATTTAATTAATAAGCTAAATAATTGTTAGAATCGAAAAGTCATCGAAAAAGTTCGCCGGAACAGTTGTCGGGAAGTCACCGGAAAACTTCGCCGGACAGTCGCCGCA